CACCACAAAGTCGCCATTTCTCCCTTTGTAATTGATCTTATGTGGGGAGATATTCCAAGATTATGCCAATATCCTCTTACTCATAAAACTTCCACCTGTTAGCCTTAGCATCCATTGATGATTCCTCTTGAATCAAACACTATGATGATGGTTGCAAAATGGTGATTTTCTGTTTCCATCATTCCTTCCACATTTACTAACTGGCATTTTACAGTAAAGAAGAGTTTTTCCTTCTCTCATTTGCTTATTATTTGATTAATTTCAGCATGGAATTTATGAATTCCTAAATGGAGCCCCGGTGGCGCAGTGGCTAAGAGCTATAGCTGCTAACCAAAAGGTCGGTGGTTTGAATCCACCAGTTGCTCCTTGGAAGCCCTATGGGGCAGTTCTACTTTGTCCTATAGGATCACTGTGAGTCGCTATGAGACGGCAATAGGTTTATTTTATTTAATAGCTCGTAATACATTACTATTATTTGGTTTGATGTTCAAATCATTCCAGATATGGCTAGCTGGAGCCTCTTTCCAGCTGGCTCCTGTGTGCTTTTGAGCATTTGTTTACTTCCTGGCACAACAAGGTGTTCAGCTTCATCTTGTACTTTCCCACTCTGCCCCAGCCATGGAATCAGCCATTTCTCCAAAGTTCCTGGTTCCTTTTACTGGAGGATGGTATTTAAAAACCAAAGTGTATGTGCTGAATGTGATCATTTCTCCTGGAATGTCATTGCTTCTAGGCTCTCTTAATGGATAGAGCTAGAAAACATATGCATGTAGATATGTACACACATACATCTCTATAACATCGCTATGTCTCCACGTCTTTATCTGTATCTACCTAGTTACCTATGTCTATCTGTCTATCTATCTGTCTGTCTATCTAAATCATGAATTTCTGTTCATACTTCCAATCCCAGTCTAACACCACAGTGTCCATTCTAGCTTTATCTCTTTCCGTATTTTTAAATCCCTTCTCTGATAGTGAGAAACCGGGTTCCGATCATCCTCACTATATTTACTTATTTGTTCAGTTCCCCTGGATGTAACCAGTCTTTCAATCAGATCATGCTGACTGCCTCCTCAATCAGCCACATCCTCCATCCCATCCACCCTGCTGCCTCTTGGACACCAGGCATGCTGCTACCTCCACTCCTCTGAGGGAGAGGAAGTCATGGAGGATTTCTTGATATGGAAGGAAGAGACTCCATTTAGGCCACCGCAGGAGATAAAGAGTCATGGTGACATCCCAGTCTATCCAGGTGCACTTATTAAGCCTCAACTTAGTGCAACTCACTATGCCAGGTGTTGGGACCACACACGTAAATAAACTCTGTTTCTGAGCCTCAAACACCTCACTGTTTCACAAGGGAGACAGACATGTGGGCTGATGATGCTAAGCATAATGTCAGAGATGCTCTACAGAGTCCCAGCTACCTGATCGACTCTGCCGAGAGAAGCAAGTAGGCCTGACAGTGAAGGGATATCTTTGGTGAGTGAGTAACAGGGTGGGGTGGCTGAAGAACAGCATTGTAGGCAGAAGGAACAGGAAGCCAAAGGTACAGAAACATGAAACGACCCTTGCATTGGCGGGATGGCCACTCTCATCACCTATGGCAACAAGGAAGTGGACTCCTGAAGGTCAGGTGATTACTCCTGGTAAGGGTCAGTCGGAGCCATGTGGGTTCACCTGGCAGGCTATTAATTTAACATCCCATTCAGCTTATTGTATTCAAATCTTAGTTTAGTATTTACTTGGGAGGAACAGGGAAAAGCTGATTTTTTTTTAAAATTTCATTTTATTGTTGT